TGCAGCCCTGATCGAGTTATCACGATTACAATGCTTTCCAGGCTTGAATGGCAAATATTAAAGAAATGCATATGTTTTTATATATTTATTAATTATGCATTTCTTTAATTTTTGCAAAAGGTGAACTTTACCCTTTAACATTGGATGTGAGCCACATGGGTTTTACTTTTAGACTTTTAAAACGAATTGCTTGCAGGAATATATGTTGCAGTAGGTTTGTAAACAATTGAGTTGAAACATTCCCATTTCTGTTCTGTGCTTTTTGATGCCAATATTCCCTCCCAGTCTTAAGTCACTGCTACCCAGATGTTCTTTTATATGAAATGTGTAATGAACTCCACATTGTTTGAGATTACCAGTGATGTACATCACAGAATCATGCCTGTTTTTAATGCAGTGCTGTCTGAGTACTCGAACATCACTGCATCCAATATTGCGTTTCAGCCTTGAAAAATGTTCAGATTTTTCCAGATTCTTGGAACCTTTGATGATATGTACTGTAGATGTTGATATATTTAAAGTAAGGATGCACCGAGATTTCGGCCGCCAAAACATATCAGCTGAAAATGGTATTTTGAGCAAAATGGCGAAAAAATATTTAGCCTGAAATTGCGGTGCATCCGTGATTTCTCTCTTCCTCACTGGGCGCTGCAATGCTAGGAGTAGAGTGATGTGAGCGTCGTGCCACAGGAGGCCGTGTGAGGTTTGTGCGGGAGGAGAGCTCAGGATGGAGAGCGGTGTAGGGGAGGAGTCAGCTGTCAAAGGAGACCAAACTTTCCTCCCACACCGCCGACTCAGCCTCCTGTGACAGCGAGTCACGATGGAGAGCGGTTACAAGCAGTCAACGCTGACTGCTTGTAAATAATTGAGGACATAGTATGTTTACTGTGTCCCCACTTATGAATGAGCAGGAAGTGCTCTAAATCACTTCCTGTTCACTCATGATTGTGGACATGGTAAACATGCTATCTCCACAGGTTATGAATGGACAGGGGCACTCCTTATAGAGGCTTACTGCTCATTCATAACAGGGGTCTGTGTAGACCCCTGATATTTCCCAGAGCCCTGACAGTAAAGTAAAAAAATAACAATACATAATATAAAAATAAATATTAAAAAAAAAAAGTTAGAAAAAATAATTTTCGGTTTTGGCCTGACCATTATTTTTTTTGTTTTGTTTTGGTTGTTGCTTTTAAATGAGAACTATGAGATGAGTGCTTTTCACTCATCCTCATAGTTCTAGCCAACCTGTGACAATGAAACTGTCACAGGTCGGCTCAGTACCGGCGTTCGCTCACTTCTCGATCCTGTCACGGAAGACAGCCGTGCCGGGAGGGGCTGGATTCCCCCTCCCCGCTCCGATCCTCCTGCGCTGACTGGCGGAACGGATGGGCAGGGGGCGGGTACAGCTGGCTCTGCCTCTACATAGGCAGAGCCAGCTGTCGCTCACGCAGCTGGGCGGATCCAGACATAATTGTCGGGATCCGTTTCAGCTGCGGCGTCTCAGTATACTCGCGGTATGCTGAGCTTAGGGTGACGGTAGGACGCTAGTTTGTCCTCCCGTTACCCTTAGGAGAACTATGGGGAAAAGCCCTAACCCCATAGTTCTCCTTTAACTTTTATCCAAAGTCTTTGCAATTTTACATAGTGGAACGTTATTCTGATGATGTTGGACAATTTTTACATGCAGCTTTTCACAGATTGGGGAAGCCCATCTTCACTTCTGAGACACTCTGACTCTCTAAGATGCTTCTTTTTTTTATGTTTAAGCTTTAAGGTAATCTTTATTGAAATATTAAATCACATTTGGGGAGCATGCAGCACTTTTAGAAATGCAGACACAGCAAAATCAGATTCAACGTAAAGAACACAAACTGCAAGAAAAGGTAAAGAATGGTAATAATGTTCATGATTCATGTAAAGTAATATGACATGTAATTAGAGGTGCACCTAAATGAAAATTTCAAAACCAAAACAAAACTGAAATAAAAAAGTCAGGCCGAAACCGAAAATGTTGTTTGTTTTAACATTTTATTTTTTTTATATTCATTTTTTATTAAATATTTTTATTTTACTTTAATGGGCTTTGGGGAAATATTAGGGGTCTAAACAGACCCCTAATATTTCCCTTTTAAAATCGAAAAAGAGATTGAGGACACAGTCCTCAATCTTTTTTTCCTGCAGCCCCTGTTATAAATGAACATGAATCCTTTTGAGTGTTCTTGTTCATTCATAACATGAGGATATTGTGCGTTTACTATAACCACAACTATGAATGAACAGGAGGTGATGTAGATCATTCCCCATTCATTCATAATTGAGGATATAGTTAACATACCATGTCCTTAATTATGTACAAACACACTCAGGGATCACTGAGCGTTTGCACCCGTACGGGCTGTCTCCGCCCACACGCCGATCTGTGACAGTGGGCTGAGCGATGTGAGAGACGCTGGCCGCTCACAGCACTCTCCTCCCGCAGTGATCTGCCAACTGTCAGTTTCTCTCCTCCCCGCTTGGACACAGAGCAGCGCCCAGCAGGGAGGAGAGAATAGAACGTATGCACCGCTGTATCGGGGCAGAAAATGGCACTTTCGGCGTTATGCCAAAAGTGCAATTTACGGCCGATGTATCGGTGCATCCCTACATGTAATAATAATGCCCTGTTTCTGCTCTTAGAACTGTAAAAACAAATGGATATCTCATTGTATCTCTACTCTCATTGTATCTCTACTCTCATGTGTAGCTCTACTCTCATGTGTAGCTCTACTCTCATGTGTAGCTCTACTCTCATGTGTAGCTCTACTCTCATGTGTAGCTCTACTCTCATGTGTAGCTCTACTCTCATTTTGTAGCTCTACTCTCATTTTGTAGCTCTACTCTCATTTTGTAGCTCTACTCTCATTGTAATCCCCTTTAAAAAGTTGACAATTTGTATCCTCCAATATTTTTCTGGTGTAGCAGCACAGGGTGTTAACTGCAAAAAAAAAGACTCGTCTTGAGAATCTTGCTCTTTCCAAATTGTTTTGAAACTCCGCTCTTCTGTTTTAACAGGGAAAGTAATATCATGACCATGATAAATGCTCTATAGGAAGTCAAAAAACAGAAGGAGCCGATAGGTGATTCACCTGGGAGGATTGACCCAGCAATTAAATCTACTTTTGGAATGAATGACCCTTTAACATAATGCAAACCAGGGTCTTTTATAAAACTAGCTCATAAAATAAAGCAAATCTTGCTATTCAGCAGAACTACACAATGTTACTGATTTGCTTCCATAATTGTTAATTCTGCGTAATTGTGTGTTACGCATAAAACACCCTTTAGGAAAAAAATACTAAGATGCTTTTTTTCTTTTTTAATACGCAATCCTGTTACTGACCTGTTGCCAATTAACTTAGTTGCAACATGTTCTTCCAGCTCTTCCTTGTTAGCACCACTTTTGCCAGCTCTTTGTTGCCCTGTCCCAACTTTTTTGAGATGTGTTGCTACCATCAATTTCAAAATGACCTTATTTTTTTCTCACAATGGTAAATCTTCTTATTTTAAAAATGTCACATGATTTTCGATTGTTAATAAAATACAGGCAGTCCCCGGGTTACATACAAGTTAGGGACTTTAGGTTTGTACTTAAGTTGAATTTGTATGCAAGTCGGAACATTTTTTAAGTGTAACCTAGTTTTGGATAGCATAGGGAAGGGTTACAGATCTTTTGCTGTCCCTGTTGTTCAGAAGATTATAATACAATTAAAACAATTTTTTATTTAAAATGACACAGCAAAAAAAAATATTTTTTATTTTATAAACTTTTTTATTATTTATTTGCATTTTTAATTTTTATTTAACTTTTTTTTCTTTACACTTTTTTTTTAGTTTTTTTTTTTTTTTATTGTAATGCTGGGAGCAATAGCCAGCCTGCTATTGGATATTTCAAATTGCAATAACAGGCTGGCTATTGCATCTGCCTGCTGTCAGCAGAGGAGGCGCCTGAAGCAGAAAGTTCTCTTATCAGGTCCCCCCATGCTGATTGACAGCAGACAGTGTGCGGGTGCAATAGCCAGCGTACTATTGGCTATTGCATTTTACACTATCCAATAGCAGGCTGGGTATGGCTCCCAGCCTGCAATGAAGAGTAGGCAGGGGGGCGGGGCAGAGGAAGCCGGCACATCAGCGGAGGTACGTGGGGCATCGGCGGTATGCAGCGGTATGTGTCCCCGCTGCCTCCGCCAACACAGGCACGGAGAGCAGCGGGCATTTGAAAGGACACAGGCCGCTGCAGCCACAGTTCTCCTAAATGTACCGGCGGCTGCCGGTACATTTAGGAGAACTGTGGACCCCATTCGTAAGTACGGATTGTCTGTAAGTCGGATGTCCGTAACCCAGGGACTGCCTGTATGGGTTTATGAGATTTGCAAATCATTGCATTCTGTTTTTTGTAGATTTTACACAGCGTCCCGACTGTGGAAATTGGAGTTGTATATTTATATTCTAGAATACTGGGTGGTGTATGTATGTGTATATGAGGGTCCTCGATCTTGGGTATAATGGTGCTGTGTGGGCAGTTTAAAGAATGTGCATAGTCAAAGGTGTGGTGCGTGTTTTTTTTTTTGGTTTTTTTTTTTTCCTTCATCTGCATCAATACAAGCAAAAATCTGCATATTAATGGTTGGTTTTTGTGGATAGGTGAAGCACCTCATCGAAAACGTTCAAAGTCTGAAGACTTGGACAGTCAGAGCTCCAAGCGTAGACGCTTTGAAGGTGAAGAATATGAAGCAGAGCTTAAAGTTAAAATAACTGCAGGAGATGATCTCAACCAGAAGTTGCAAAAGGTATGAAGTTTCGATTTAACTGATAACAGTTATCTAAAGACCTATGCTTTAGATAACATCCTTAAACTTTACCTTGAGCTTTTCTTTATACTGATTGAAAATGCTTTGAAAAAGCCTCTAATGCATTGATAGTTTTTAGCGACCTTTGCTCAGTGATGTCTTAAGAAGAAATAATTTTTTAATAAATCTGTTCATAGAGCAGGGATTGTGTGCAATATACAGTATCTCCTAGCAAATAGATTCAGTCTAAATCTGATTGGTGAAATATTCATCAGTTTGTTCACTTTGTTCTTATACGTATTAAAGTTGATCCAGCATGAGATGTTTTTTTTTTCATGTTAAGTGAATGTTATAAGTGTAACACTTCTGGGTATATTTTGCCCCTCAGAGATTGCAGTACTCCCCTGACAATTACTTGTTCTGCTTCTTCTTTTCAAAAGAATGGTGCCATCTTTAGGGCAGCATCTTCTTCTGGAGCATTTATTGTGCCTGGGACTGCTTTCTGGATTTTCAGATCAGTTGGTTTGTTCTATATAGTCCGTTCCCTCTTTGGTCAGGTCTTCTGATTCAGACACTGCTGGACACTATTTAGGTACTTCTGTGCTTTCATCATCGAGATGAAAGTCGGGAGGTGTAGTTTGCTTCCTGTTGTAGGCACTACTGTTGGTCTCGGTATCCCCTGCCCTGAACCTTCCTCCCAGGGGCAATCTTCTGGAGGTTAGTTCTTTCTAACTTCCAAAATTTTATTTCCTGGACCTGTTTCAGGTGAAGGATGTTGATACATGTCTCACTGTACTTTCGGCGGGAGGAACAAACTAGTCTCCTGCTGCAGATATCCTCTAGCAAGAACAGGGCATGCTGGTAGAGTAGGTGTTATCCTGGGATGACATACAGATTTTTTGTTTGTTTGCATTGTTCAGGTTTTGTGGAGGTGGCAATTTTGTGGAAGTATAATACTTCCTGTGTCCCACTATGGACTCCAAGCAAAGGATTTTATGTTGAGAATAATTCTATTTTTTCATTTGTAGGTCATCCAGCGGATGTTTGAGGAGAAGCTAAGTGCCTTGCAGTGTGCAGACTTTGATAAAGCAATAGCAGACTTGAAAACACGAGTTGAAAAAATTGAATGCAAAAAACATGAGACTGTTCTGCATTCCATACAGGTAATGTGTTCTGCAATGTTCTGTTTAACCAGTTGTGCTACATGCTCAGAAAACATTTTCATTGAAGGACACAGGGCATGTGTAGAATGCCCTGTTTTTTTGCCCTGCTGCTACTAACCCCCCTCACCTCCGCCCCCACACTTGTAGATGATTGCGAGCTGTCAATTACTGTGTAAATACAGTACCTGTAGAGACTGCTGCTGTCATAAAATAGATGGTCTGACAGTGTGTATCAAAACTGTTGAGAAAGGTGACAGAGATGCAAAGTAATATCGTTAGGTTTATATCTAATCTGTTTCATTCTTCTACAGATCAAAGTGATGAGCTTCGATCTGCAAACATCAGTTAAAGTGACACTAAACTCAGGAGTTAAACCTTAAAAATGCATTTTGCGTGTTGTCGCGCTTACCTTTTGAGTGACAAAACGCCTAGGAGTGAACGGGGACTAAATTTTAAGGGTAAGTTTTTTTTTCGATGAGGGTGGGCGTTTTTAAGACGTCCTTCCCCGCCCCCACTCATGTGCGTCCCCCCGCGCGCGCACGAGTGGGAAAACTACAAAAAGTTTAAACGGCCACTGAGGGCTGTTTAAATATACAAGCATTCCAGCTTCTGTAGAGACGCCCGATTGCTTGTATATTGGGCGGGTGTGCGCCCCCTGTTCACACCTGAGCATTGTCACAAGCAGAAAAATGCCCGTTGCTGTCCCATAGACTTAAGTGGGAAACTTCGTGTGACAAAACGCTTTGAGCAACAAAACCCCTAAGGCCTTGTTCACACCAATCGCAGAGCAGTTGCAGAACGGATCAAAACTGCGTCCAATGTATTCCAATGGTATTTTTTGCTCCAGTTCACATTGCAGCGTGCAGGTCCAGAGCAGGTGAAAAAACTGCAGCAAGCCCTATTTTATAAAATATGGAATGCATAAAAACGCATCAAAAACGCATGCAAATGCCTGGAACGCACTGAAAGCCCATGTTAAACTAAAAAAACCAAAACTTTGTTTTACCACAAACGATCCAGAGCGCATCAAAAACGTGGCAAAAACATGCGGCACAACCCACTGCATTTGGTGTGAACAGAGCCTAAATTTTTTTTTTCATTTTTACTAATTTTGGTTAATTTCTGTAGTGTTTTAAAGAACAGAATGGGGGTGAGGGGTGGGCTTTTATTTAAAAAGGCTAAATTATAGAATAAGTAACCATTCATAGTAAAAAAAAAAAAGTCTCTTTGGCAAATAAATTTTGCAAGACAATATCGCCAAAACAAAGCCTTGTTTGTCCTAACAATAATGTATTTGTTATTCTCGCCCCTTCCTGCTGAGTGTATGCACATATGCACATATGCACATATTCTTGCTCACACAGGGCTTGGGAACAAAGTGCCTGGAAGCTAAGTGGCGTACACGGATGTGGTCCATCTTCTATGGAACCATGTATATGTGAATACATGTTTGTGCTATGCCGTCAGCATATAAAAGCATATTTTATTTTATTTTTTTTCTAGGCTAAAATTACAAGGCTGACAAAACGCTTTGGAGCTGCTAAGGAAGACCTCAAGAGGAGACCTGAGGTAATAGATATATCTGTAAAACCTACTGGGGGGAATTCATAAAAACTGGAGAAGTTGTCCATGCCAACTAATCAGCTTCTCTTTCATTTTCTACGCTTAACGCAACAAACTGAAACGTGACGCTGATTGGTTGCCATGGGCAACTGCTCCAGATTCTGTCTGCTCCTGTTTTTATGAATTCCCCCATTATGATCTTTTTCTTTACTAATTTACATGCAGTATAAGTACAGTATTTGTATATAGTTATGGCTGTGCTTTTCATTCTACCCTTAAGACACGTGGCGACTCCTTGAGTGTATGATGACAAAAGTTATTGCATGAGTTTTTGGGTGGTGTTTTTTTTTTTCTTTTTCATATAACACGGGAGAATAGTGAGCTCAGAGTGGAAATTTTTTTTAATTTGGAAGAGCTTTGTTTTATTTTAGATGTTGCATTCCAACATGGGAAAACATGTTTGCATACATTGTTAGTATATAATGGAAGTAAAAATGATATTTTTTTTACCCCATGCAGTGCAAAGCAGCAGATTCACTTTAATGCAGACCTCCACATATGCTTTTGATTCACTGCTGCTCCTTTTGGCTTGCCAGGAGAGGAAGGAAAGCTCTTGTGTAAGCTGAGTCACTAAAGTGGAAGCTTACTGGAGGGCTATGGACTCCCTCTGTGATGGTCCTGATTGGCCCAGTGCTGTCACATGAAGGGAGCCCCATGCTTCTATATACCTGGAGGTACTGGGTACTTCAGTTTCTAGCAGGGAAGCGAAGGAAAAGTAAGTGTATGCTGCTGGGGACTGTTGGATTAAAGCAAATCTGATGCGTTTGTCCTGAATAGGCAAAGCACAAGTTGTGCTAACACAATGATCTAATCTTAAAGCAAACAAAAATGTACAATTAGCATGACTGCAACATTTTCACACTTTTGAAAATAAAGAATAAGTGCAATGATTTTTAATTTTTCCATACCTGAAATATTTTGCTTCACTGGTCAATATTTAATGAAACATTTTCTTGCATATCGAATACAGCAAACCACAGTTAACCAGTCTGCATCACCAGGGAAGTCTGCAGTAACAGATTCCACTCCAAACTCTAACCTTAATTCAGTAGCTTACAGGTAAGCTGTGATGTAACAAGTTGAAAAATTTTAACTGTTGCAGTAATTGGTTCATTTATTTGTAGGAAAATACTAGTGTTTATATGAGTAAGATAGATGCACACAGATGGGTTGTTTTTTTTTCTCTCCCCATATTTTTTTCAGGCATTTTTAGTATCTTTAGCCTGTATTTTTACATTTTGACATGTATTGAGTGACTTTTATTTTATGGCTGCCTACATAGTATTGCCATTTTAAAAGTGTGCATTCACTACTTATCGGCTGTTAATCTGTACAGGCGGTCCCCGGGTAACATACAAGATAGGGACTTTAGGTTTGTACTTAAGTTGAACGTGTATGTAAGTCGGAACAGGTACATTGTTTAAGTGTAACTCCAGCCAAAAAAACTTTTTTAGTATTGGATAGCATAGGGGAAGGGTCACGGTTCTTTTGCTTGTCTGTTCCTGTTGTTCAGAAGATTATAATATAATTTAAAAAAAATCTTTATTTAAAATGACACAGCAAAAAAGGTTTTTTTTCTATTTTGAATTTTATTTTATAAACTTTATTTGTTATTATTTGTTTGCATTTTTAATTTTTATGTAACTTTTTCTTTACTTTTTTTTAATTTTTTGTATTTTAATGCTGGGAGCCATAGCCAGCCTGCTATTGGATATTTTAAAATGCAATAGCCAATAGCAGGCTGGCTATTGCATCTGCCTGCTGTCAGCAGAGGAGGGGCCTGAAGCAGAAAGTTCTCTATCAGGTCCCCCCATGCTGATTGACAGCAGACAGTGTGTGGGTGCAATAGCCAGCGTGCTATTGGCTATTGCATTTTACAATATCCAATAGCAGGCTGGGTATGGCTCCCAGCCTGCAATGAGGAGTAAGCAGGGGGGCTGGGCAGAGGAGCCGCGGCCGGACCAGGAGGCCGGAGGATCGTCCGGACCGGGGAAGCCGACAGAACGGCTGAAGAGGAAGCCGGCACATCAGCAGAGGTACGTGGGGCATCGGCGGTATGCAGCGGTCTGTGTCCCCACTGCCTCCGCCAACACATGCACGGAGAGCAGCAGGGATTTGAAAGGACACAGGCCGCTGCAGCCACAGTTCTCCTAAATGTACCGGCGGCTGCCGGTACATTTAGGCGAACTGTGGACCCAGTCCGTAAGTACGGATTGTGCGTAAGTCGGACGTCCGTAACCCGGGGACTGCCTGTATTTAATATTTTACAATGTTGGTACTGAAAGAGTGTATACAATACAATCAGCTGTAGCACCCCCTCAGATGGACCCTCTCAAAGCAGCACTTACCCTCCTTTGCCATATATTGATGTGTTGTAATGGCAAGAACTTAGGAGCGAAGAGAAAAAAAACATACTTTATTAGGAGAAAAAGTGTTAACTTGAAGATATGGATCAAAAGAGAAGGAAAGTAACAGTCTATATCTCAGTAGTGCAAATGTTTATTTAATCACATACAAAAAAACATTTTAGGTTTCAACATTGATGCATAGTTACATAGTGTCTTCTTTGAAAAACCTTGCCACTATATTCAGGCCTTCAGCACATCTACTTTAGGCCTGGTTCACACCTGGGCGTTTTACAGTGCGTTCCTACGCGCTGTAAAACGCTCAACATATGAAAACCAATGATTGCCTATGGGCATGGTTCCCACCTGGGCGTTTTACAGCGCGTAGGAACGTGCTGCAAAACGTGCTGCAAAGTGTACATGTCCTACCTTGTCCGCGATCCCCGATGTGGCTGCCGGGTTCCGTCCCTTGCGACCGGCCGCGTCGCAGGGGGCGGAGCCAGCGGGAAGTTTAAAAGTGAAAAACTAAAAATGTATATATTTTTTTTTTTAAATGGAGAAAAAAATCATACCGCCAGTGAAACGCGCGTTTCACTGAACGGAAAAACGAGCTGAAAAAATACGCTCAGGTGTGAACCAAGCCTTACAGTTTTAACCCTCTGCGCATGACCCGGTTTTCAGTCTTCTCGCACATCCTGAAATGCACCTTGACTAAAGGACCCCCCTGCCCCTTCCGAAACTATATTTTCTGAGTGCAGAGAACACGAGAAGTAAAAAGATTGTTACATCAACTTTTTATGTCCTGCAATATGGGATGTTTTAAGAAATCAATCTTTTCAGTAAGAAATACATACCTCCTTTTTAGTGCACCAAAGCACAATATAATCTTCAACTTTTCTGTTGACTTTAAAAAATGTGACTGGTCAATGAATACTCCATAGTCATTGCCTCAATCATATGTACATAAGAAAACAAAAAAAACTATGATGTTCAAAACTGTAAATGGGTAATATATTAAAAACTTTTACTGCATATCACTTAGACTTTAATGATGACCCTAAAATATTCTCTGCCACATGTGGTATAGGTGACTGCTAAAGGGTGCAAAGATAACACTCCATTTGTCGTGGTGACCATTGTCACTGAGACTTAAAATTAGGGAAAATCATACATTTTGAAAAACTGGAATAGAGGTTAAGACTTCTGGTGATAATTGTGAGTGGATTTCCCTCACTTTGGAGAGATTTCTGGTTGTGGACAGGACAGGAAGTAAATTGTATCTCCCTAATGGGGAACAGATGGAAAACAAATGTCACATGGGATCTCCAGCTTAGTGAGAAGCCGGGTTGGCACAAAGCAATACAGAGGTGGGGGGAACCTATTGCTGACAGACTGGTAGCCAAACCTTTTAAACTAGCTTATAGCTACCATTAGACAATGGGGTTTTCAGCCTATTCTGCATCATTTTGTTTGGTGATTGTAGGGTTGAAATAAAAATATTAATAAAAATATTAACAAATAATTATTCTGAACCGCAAGCAGAGACCACTACTTCCACGCATGGGGCAACCTTTTTTCTTTTTATGTCTCTGGAGCTTGCTAGAAGTAGACGGGTCTCTCTGTGGCTGCTTTCTAGAGAAAACTGTTACAAGATGCGTACCATTTGATGCACCTAGAATATAGCTAGATGTGTGCTGAAAGCAATTGGGTCTTAACCCTTTTACTGCCACCACTGTAAGTTTTATGGCACATTGGTAATGGGATGTAAACTAGCACACTCCCTTAAAAGCAGGCATCAACTTGTTTTTACTGTTTTCTGCTGTTCACATTTCTTTTTTTGCACTCTACCTCTGGGGTTATCATACATGGTTACCTCTAAATTAATGACCTGTAAAGGTTTTTAACCCTATGGACAATTTTTAAATATTTGGTTTCCATTTATGCAGCTTCCACAGTCTTATCTTTATATTTAACAGAATTTAAACTATAGATGTGATAAACCATTTAACATAAATTGCAACTGCCTTCATTTTATTCTAAAGGACCTTTGCTTCAGAAAGTGTATATTGTTTTAAAGCTGAAGTTTAATCTTGTATTGCTTTCCCTGGCTCCTCCTTTCTTTCTCATCAACATGCTAATGAATGTATTAAATAAGAGTTTCTGTTTTCATTACATATATATTTTAGACCCAGTGACCACCAGGTCCTTGTGCTTCTCTATGCAGTGCAAGAAGATCATGGCAGGTGGGAGTGCTGTACTTAAGCTTCCTGAAAAGAGGAAGCTGTGGTAGCACCCATGTGATACAGAGTTTCCATGATTAAAAGAACCGAAAGCCAATGAACTAATGTAAGGGGAGGGCCAGTAAGACTGGGGAGGAAAGTGCTAAATGATGTTGCATGTCTTCCAGCCAGTAAATGAGGCAAGTGCTTTCTGACTTGCTGCTCCTAATGCACACTGTGAGAAGCTTACAGTGTGTCGGAGCCTGTACAGCTGTGGAAGATGGAAGGTAAGGCCGAAGTTCAGCTTCAAGTACATTTTCATGCAAAATAAATTTACATTCTAGCATGTGTGGGAAAATGGGAGGAGGCAGAATTTCTTTTGTGCGTTTTTTTTAGATAACTTGTGACCTGGGAGTCGAAAATAAATACAGAATAGTAAAAACTATAAACATCAGTTTTTAAGACCTCTGGGAAAAATTCTTAGCTCTTGCAGTGCCGGGATAGCTCGACTGCAAATTAAGTGCTCGCTTTCCTCTAGGGAGTTAAATAATAGTTATACTCACCCAAACCTAATAGCCGGCTGGCTGTTAGAGTGCTTCTTCCAGCCTGTCTCCTCCTCCACTTTAGCGATGGTATGTCCCCTAGAGTCTTCGCATCCAATACAGTGTATTGGACATGATGACTCAAGGATACTTGGACCTAGTGATGCAACGATACCAGTATTGGTGCCGATACTGAGCATTTGCACGAGTACACGTACTCTGTAAATGCTCCCAAAACCAATACCTGCGTTAGGCACCTCTGTTTGGTGTTGACATCACTGAGCAAGGAGGTTCCAAATGGAAAGAACGCACCTCTTTACAGGCACCTCACTTCCTGGAGATGGGACACGTTGCAGCGACTTCACTTCCTGCAGACAAGATGTGTCGCCATAGAGACGGTACAGACAGAGATCCTGGAGAAATGGAAGCAGATGGGCTGCTACCTGGGATGGAAAAGCTGTCCTGCTCTGGTGTGGGGCTGAGCCTAGAACACAGCGCTGCCCTGCGGACATAGCTACTGCTCCTTACTGGAACAGGAAGCTGTCCAGGGTCCTGTTCTGGGGGAAGATTCTTGGGGTCCAGGCAACTTTTATATCTGCTGGGGCACTGAGGAGGAAGAGGGCAAGGAAGTGGGGGGAGGAATACTTTCTACAGGTGAGGGGCCGCTATAGCTTATATATACCCCCTATATATACACACACCTCACTGTACATTACTGGGAGGGGGAGGAGGACCTGCTACAGGTGAGAGACCCTAAAGATTAAATAACTCCCCGCACAACCCCCCC